TCAAAAAAAAAAAAAAAAATCAAAAAATTAAACCACATCCTAAGCGAAATCTAAGAAGATAGATTTTGTTGTTATACTTCTACTCCACTAATATCAAGCGCAAAAAAAAAAAAATTAAAATAAAATAAAAAATAATAATAATTAAAATTAAAAATGTCTTTGACTTATTCCTGGATTTGCTAAGATTTCTGAATTTAACATGGGCCGTGGTTTGACAGTTGAACGAGTGGTCTCAAAAACACGTACGTGTTTATAGACTACTACCGAACATAAAACACATTCCCTTGCCTTTAACGTACGGAAAGTTCCAACATATACCCCCTAAAAATAGTATATTATATGTATTTTTAATTATATTATTTTATTTTTTAATTATAATTTATAGATTTTTTAATTATATCTCGCGTTGTATTTAGTTATGATATTTTTTTAATTAAAATTTTAAAAATATAAAATTATGCCATTTTTTTTATATTATAAGATATGTATAATACACATCTTTTCGGAGAGTTATACTTAGTATTTCCCTCAACATTAATGTGAAACAAGTTAAGGGATGGAACAACAACGCATCAAATTTTAAATCAAATCTGTAATAGGAAAATTTTGTATGTATTGACAATTTTTTATCACAAAATCTAATTGTAACGGAATGCTAGAATTATTTTAAATTCGTTAGAGCGTCTAATATTTACTTTTTCTTTTATTAAATTTAAACGAAAGCAGTCCAGTTTTAATATTCCAACGTTAACATCAAACTAATATCAAATTGAGAATTTTTTAAACTTTCCATCAAATTGAGGATGCTTGAAACCTCTCATCAAATTATTATAGATAGCCGTTGGGACCATACACCGGACGACTGTCCGGTTGTCCTCCTGAATAACCTCTTCCTTGCTTACACTTCCAGTAAATTTGCACTAATTGGTCGACCTGCCGGAGATCCTCCTAATCGTTCTCCGGGTCAACCGGTGGTTTGAAGAAAAATAAAAAATTTCCGTTGAAACGCTTGATATCAAATGAAATTTTTATTCAAATTTGATATAAAAAATAAAAAAAAAGTAAACGTCGAAGATGCTCTTAGGTTGGTTTGCTAAATTATCACACTAAATCAGCCTCTTGCACCGAGTTAAAGAGTGGAAATTAGCACAAAAGTGGAAATTAAATATTAAAAATTAAATGTTGAATTTTTTTAATTAATATTTTATTTAATAAAAATTTAAGTATTAAATTAAAATAAGTGAACCAATTTAGCTAACCCAATTGGCTACTCATGTGTACTTAACTGAAATGTCAAGTGGTCAATTTTTACCAAAGGCAAATATCGATTATTTACTTTCTATTAAAAGATTTTTATATTAGTCGAGGTACACATAAGTTGGCATAGACACTCAATTATATATATATGTAAATAGTCTTTGTTTAATGATTTATTTCTTTCTTTCTTATTGTGATTTTTTTTTTTTTTTGGGTTATGGTTGATTGTGCCTGATGGTGCCAGGCTTGTTGTTTATAATGTGGGGCTTTCTTATGTGGTTGAATGTTCAATTTAATATAATTATCTTGATATTTGTAAATATTGTCTTATGGATTTAAAAATAATAATTAATTATTTGATATGTATAAGATGAAATTTGAATTTTATTATATTTAATTTTTTTTTTAAATTTTTATATTGTAATGACGAGGTAATCATGACGGTGTAACTGGTGGCAGGAGCTAGAACTAGTACGGTAGAATGGTAGGTTACATGTTTTTTATGGATTTTATTTGGACGACAATTTGCTTGAATTAAAATAAATAAATAAATAATTATATATATGGCTAAGTGGACAGACTTGCAAATTAAATTAATTTTAGGGTTAGGTTTTGGATGACCCTATAACCTTGATGTCCGGGCCGGGTCGAGTTTTGATAAATACAAAATTCTTATTAGGTAGTATAAGCTTGACCCGAACCCAACTCGGTCCAACAGATGTCCACCCAAGTTGTAGCCTAGCCGTAACTTTTCACTATGTGATTGAGATGATCTAAATAAGTATATTTTTTGACTTCTTATGAAAAGACGTGAAATATGAGTTGAGTTTCAAATGATGTGATAGAAAGGTGATTTGACCCAAATAAGATGATTATGACTTAAATATGATAATATGCTAGCACATGCCAAACAGCCAGCTTATTTTAAGTCAAAAGTTGCCTTTTTAAATTTTTGCCAAACTTTTGATAAGCCAGGGAGAAATTTCACCTCAAGCATTATAGCAGTTACCAAATATTGGTGCTTAACAGTGTCAATAGCTCTCATGCTATAGGTGTTGCCACCAAACCTTGATTTCTTGTACAATCAAAGCAATTTCCCTTATCAAACGAAGCCTTTCTGTTTAATGTTGCCCTTCTGTTATTGCAACAAAATTGAGCTCCAAGTTACTACAATCAATATCAAAAGGGTCCATGTTTTCCTAGTCAATTCAAAACAACATACTCAAAAAATAAGCAAAAAGAAACCCAGACCATGAGAAGAAGATTTTAAAATTGGTTCCACCATAAGTATTTAGACTACTGTAAATTAAAATAAAAAACCAACAAACAAAAACAGTAAAAGAATATACTATGTGGATTTAGGTTTTATATGGAATAAGAGAAGATATTATGCGAGAGGGTGTATAATATAACTATAGGGCTAATTGTATATGGTCCGGATCGGTTCCAATCCGGAAACATGGGGTTCAATCCGAAACCGATCTGTGGACTACACCGAATCATGGATTCAAAAAATCAATCCAAACCTACCGGATTAGATTGGACTGGATCGAATTACAGATTTTACGGATTCCTTACTTAGCCCTAAAAATATCGAGGCAAAAATCATGATTTTTTTTTTTTTTTTTTGGGAGGGTACATCAGGGGCTGTAACCTGGAGAAGGGGAGTCTTAGAATATTGAATTTACTATAATGGTCCAAATTTCTAAATTTCATAGCTCTCTTTACCTAAGCAATAAGTTAAAGGTCATATGTCACCATTAAATTCTTATTGCCTTTATGCACAACAATGCTCCACAAAACCACCTTCATGTAGTATTCTACCCTAAATAAATGGTATTCTACCCTAAATAAATGAAGTATTTAAAAACATATGAAATTTAGTCATCTCTGTCTATCAGTAGGCATGAAAATTAGATAAATCTGACACTTAAACATGTATCCACACTCGGCAACCATACCCTAGTCCACATAGAAACAGACAAAATCAAAACATCTTCTCAACCAAAATTTCAACGGATGAGGATACATTGGTTTATGTCAATTTCTATGTATCAAAATATATTTTGGTTTATTTAGATAATAAACATTAATTGGAGAACTCAGTAGTGATTAGCAGTCTGTCTATTGGTTAATTAGGGTATTGACTTAAATTTGATTTTTTTTTTCTTTCTATCACTCATCTATCTTTGGTTATAATTTTTCACAATATTGTATTGAAGGTCATCAGCCAAAGCTGGGTTTGGCTGGAACAGGTTTGTCATTGATTTATTGATTGAAAAGGAATTACATAATAAAATGTTGACCTAGAACCAGGTTCCTCCTTCCCGTTCTCTTAGTAGCATCATAATAGTGCTATTATTTATCTTGTTTGTTTGTGTTTGTATTGTTTCTTTGTTTTTATTTGTTTTGGAAAATAGATTATGCAAGAATACAAATATGGAGCACAAATACAACACCATCAAGATGATTTAAAAATAAATAAATAAAAAATCATGACACTGTCACAGAGATAAATAGGACCTTGGCTTCATTATTCAGTGGTTGCTTCTTTGATCAAATTTTCCCTTAATTTTGTTTTCTCTTCGTGGTTCACTTTAGATGTGAAATTTTCTTAGATCATTATAGTCTTATCAAATGCTATTGGTGCTGGCAACTTCACAATAAATGTTGGTCCAGTTTTAACCATTGTCATTTCAAATAAGTTGAATGGCGTAAACATCTTGAAGGTAATGCAGTCATTTTGTTTTAAGAGGAAGTTTACCTCACTGTTTGTATTTTTTAGGTAATTTGTTGGATGTTGTTGAGAAGGTACAGGTACAGGTACTGTTTTAGGTAATTTTCTCTAGTTCTTCCACACTTTCGTCTATGCTCTGAAGTCTTTCATGTGTAGGGCTGTGAGAGAGAAGTTACGGAGTCTGCAAATGGTGTCTCAGAAAGATAGATAAAAAGAACAGAGAAAAAGAAAATGGTTCATCTGACTAGAACCCTTCATATATTGGATTATCGAGAATATGCATAATTACTTAACAATAACTAAATTTGATGACTAGAAGGAAGGAGTTGAGTTAAATGGTGAAATAATAACTGAATGGAGGAAAATGATTTACTTACTTTAACTCAAGTTGTTGGGATATATGATTTGTTGAGTAAATTTGTATACTTAACCTACCTGGCATATGATGGTGCATACAATTGCGTTTATACAGTTGTTTTAGACTAATAGTCATCAATAGATCACTCGTTTGGTTTATTATTTTGTAGCCAGCTTCACCTACCACCCTTGGAAAGGAAATTGCAATTTTTGCTGTCAGATTAAGCAGGGAAAGACGGGATATTTCTCAAGTTGAGATAATGGGGAAGTTTGCCGGTGTAGTTAGAAATTACAATGCACATCTTGTTGCATACCCTGATATTAAATGGCGTCAAATTGCAGAGGAGTTCATGAAATCCCTTGGATTAAGTTTCAATCCCTGTGTGACTCTGGTGTGTTCCATGCACAAGATTTCTTCTCACTTAAGTTTTTATTAGGTTTCTCTGTAATTCTTCACAGACCAGAGTAATTTTTAGAAGTTTTATCAACAATTTCTAAGTTAACAATCAGTAACCACATTTTGATGGTTCCTTTTGATATGCTCTCTGTTGGCTCGTATAGACCTACCATCCACTGTATGGCTGCTCTATGTACAAAGCTAGAGAAGTCGGTAGTCTTTATTACCTATTAGTTACTCATTAGTGAACTCTCTTCCCAATTTTTATCCCCGTCCTCGCTCCTTATTATTTTTATGTAACAATTAATTCATCCATATTAAACTGTGACAGAGGACATCACTTATGTGTTCCTTGAAAATTCTGAATTCGGGTCATTATCTTCTAGCTAATTCTTTCATAGTTTAACCATGTTCTGCAAGTTAGTTGCTACTCCAGATTATCAAGAGTGTGCTCGATCCTTGTGAGGATGAAAATGATGACATTCAAGATGATGATGTGAGCTTGGGGGCTGATTTTGTACAAAAGAGTGTTCTGAATTTCATTTCATTTCATGTTTTGGTCAATTTCACGTATATATTATGTGTGTATGCAGTGTAATTCTTAACTAAAATTTTGTATTTGTGGTTGTGTTATTGGGAAACAGATAGCAAAGATCGTGGATGAGGTCCTTGATGAGCAGGGTATGTTTTGAATCCCTGTTTTGCTCTCCTCTAGTGACCTTTTGCATCAATTTGTTGGAATTTGAACAAAAGTTACTATACTTGAGGAGTGAATGCTAAACTGTGGATTGGACATGGGAAAAGTTATAGCAGTACTTATTTGCTTCTGTTGATTATCGTTAAATTTTTTTGATAAACTGTGGTGTCTTACATCTCTATAAATTGTTGAATGTTGCCATTGTATTTAGTCCTAACCATGCATGCTATTGCCTTCTGTTTGAAACATGCGTTGCAATAATATTTTAGTCCTAGTTTCTTGTAATTTCTATTATCATAGGCAAATATACATGTTTACTGTACTATTTGCATAGCTAAGATAGTATAGAAATAAACAATTTGTTGCTAGTCAAAAAAATGTAGGTCTTGTTTGGTTGTGTGGAGGTTTGTGTAAGTGACTTCACTCTAGGACATACTCCAATTTACATCCATCCCATTGTTGTGATTGCCAAGAGAATTGAGTATCATGCCATATAACTCTATTGAAGTGGGCTTTACATTTGCAAATAAACAAAGAGTGAAAAGATGACTTATTGAAATATTAATGGAGAAATTACATTCCTTTAGGTGATGGGTAAAGTGTCATTGTCTCTTCCAATCGTGCTCTTGTTAGCTTGAATTAGTGTTTATTTCTGTTGTGCTCATGATTATGTTTATCATTTGCAGGTGGAAAGCGTCTTGTTCCAGTGGGTCTTGGAGATGATGATCAATGCATGGAAGATGACTTTGCTGCATGGTATTAAGAACATGAATCATTACCTGGAACTCATAGCATATATATTTTTGCAACTTCTTTAAGATAAGTAGAAATAAAAGCTTAGTTACTGCTGCTAATGTAGGCGGGAATTACTTTGGCGCGAGTTAGATCAGTTGCTTAAGGATGATGACAGTTCAACTGTTGCAACTCCTTACACTGCTGCTGTGTTGGAATATCGTGTGGTATATCATGACGGCACAGATGCATCAATATTGGACAAGAGCATGTCAAATGGTCATGCTTTTCATGATGCACAACATCCATGCAGGTACCAAAAGAATGTTTTAAATCCTGAATTTTTCTATTGCCAGTTAATTATATGCTTTTGTTTTTGTAACCTAACAAATATTTTATCTTGGAATTAAGGTCTAATGTGGCTGTGAAAAAGGAGCTTCACTACTTCCAGGTTGCAGAAATCCTTAAGGATCGGCCTTCGTGGTATCGCGATTGCCGAGCTGTGGATGTTCTAAATGTGCTGTTCTAAAAAAAAATGTAGAGTGCTCGTTCTATAATTAATTTGCCCATTAATTGATTGTTAAATTAAGCATCCCAAGATAACAAATGCTTTTCACTTTGTTCTGGAGAGCAATTGTTATGAAATTTCACATATTAGCAAGTGAAGTAAATTAAGATAATTGTTGTATATAGGTCTATTAACGCAAGTCTTGCCCAATCCTTTTCTACTAGTTCTCTGTATTCATGTTCTCATTTCGAGCTTAACATTTCTTTATCTGATCTTGCTGTACACTTTTCCTATATTTCAGAATGTGCCCCCTGCAATACTACTTAGATTCCTGCGGGAGCACAGGTCAGAATGGGCAGACAGTAGTATCGATGCTTACTCAGCTGCAGCTGTTAAAGTTGGTCCCTTTAGCTTACCAGGGTCTAGAGTTGGAAGCTTTTCAGGTGAAGTTATTCTGCCACTGGCTCATACTATTGAGCATGAAGAGGCAAGTAGTTTCATCTTGATTTCTTCATTATCTATTCCAAAATTTTGAATATTTACTTGGAATTTTGACATAGATTGTACATTTCATTTCATTTCATGGATATTAGTTATTGGAGGTCATTAAGCTGGAAGGTGTTGGACATTGTCCTGAAGATGCAATAATGCCTAGAGACATGTTTCTCTTGCAAGTAAGTTTTGGTTCTTCATATCTTTGTCATATATTTAATGCTTGAATTATCACGGTCTGTAGGCATGTTGCCCCAACAAGCCTAAAGTTTTGGTTCTTCATATCTTTTGTCATATATTTTAATGCATGAATTATCACGGTCTGTGGGCATGTTCCCCCCAACAAGCCTAAAGTTTTGGTTCATATCTTCACAGAATTTTTTTTTTGTAATGGGGATATTTTTAAATGTTACTACTAGTTCATTTTTACAAAGTCCTCGTTCTTTTTTTTATCCATTACTTTTTATGGCCCCAACCTTCTTGCTTAATGTCATTGTTTATACTTTCCTAACAGCTATGGAGCGGAATGGATGAGAATGCTGTTGGCACCTGTGCTGAACTTATATTTGCTCCTATCAATGCCTCTTTTGCTGATGATGCACCTCTTTTGCCTTCTGGTTTTCGCATCATACCTCTTGATTCTGGCAAGGTCAGCATCTAGAATTACGTTATAGTTGCTGTATTCGGCTATCATTTTTTCTCTTTTTTCTCTTGAATTAATAATAACTGAGATCAAGCAGATGATGGCTAACTGAACTAGGATCTGCTATTGAGATAACATTGATTTCAGACTTCAGTAGTATTTGAAAGCAACCAAACAACCAACATCTCTATTTGTTTCTGCATCCATAAAGAATGATTCATTGCGATAAATTGTTGTTGATACTAAAAGGATGAACCATGCTACTTTTCATAGAAACTTAATGAGGCATTCACCACATGTCAAACACAATCACCTATTAACTTTGCCTCTGCCAAGAGAGTGGTAGGTGTAAATTTTAATCCCAGTTCACTTTAGTATGTCCTAAATATTAAAATAATAATAATAATTGTATGCCATATACATTTAGAGTTTCCCATTTGTTCTGTCTCGGGTAAACTTTGCCCCATTTGTTTTGATGGAAAATATTTTTGTGGAAATTAACATTTTTAATAATAAATTTGAAGATGGGTTGTTTCAGGCAAAGAAGAAAATGGTTGAATTAGTACATAAAATTATCGAAGCGAAAAGGAAGAACAGAGGCAGATCAGAAGTTGCAAAAGATGTAGCTGATGTTTTGCTGAATGATGCAAGTGAAGAGATAAATGATTATCTAATTTCAGATGTTTTTAATATTATAAGCCATATTAGTGTGCTTTTTATTCCTTCTTAATTTTTTTGGGCAAATTACACTTCTTGACCATTTTGATTTTAATTGATGTATTTAAAGTCTAAATTGTTGTTATTCTTAGGTATGCAATGTATTGTTTTTTTATTTTTAATTTTGGTTTCAAGCTTAGTTTATTTATTATTTTAATAAACATCAATTATTAGTTTGACAGGTATTTTTTTTTTGTTCAACCATGTAAAATTAAAAAATTAAAAAAAAGGCTATGGTGGCGTTTAAAAAACGTCACTATATCCCACCCCAACGGCTAGATTTTAAAAATGTATGAATGTCTATGACGGCGTTTTCAAAAACGTCGCTAAATGTCATAGTGACGTCATAGTACAGTAGGTAGGACATTTGGCGGCGTTTTAAAAACGCCGCCTATACTAATATAACGACGTTTTTAAAACGTCATAAAGTTATAGCGACGGTCGCGTCATCGGCGTTTGGTACTAAACGTCATAAAAAGAATTAGCGACGTTTTTAGTACTTTTAGCGGCGTTTTTTAAACGCCGCTAAAAGTGAATTTTCCAGCAGTGAATCAAAGCAATTTCCCTTATCAAACGAAGCCTTTCTGTTTAATGTTGCCCTTCTGTTATTGCAACAAAATTGAGCTCCAAGTTACTACAATCAATATCAAAAGGGTCCATGTTTTCCTAGTCAATTCAAAACAACATACTCAAAAAATAAGCAAACAGAAACCCAGACCATGAGAAGAAGATTTTAAAATTGGTTCCACCATAAGTATTTAGACTACTGCAAATTAAAATAAAAAACCAACAAACAAAAACAGTAAAAGAATATACTATGTGGATTTAGGTTTTATATGGAATAAGAGAAGATATTATGCGAGAGGGTGTATAATATAACTATAGGGCTAATTGTATATGGTCCGGATCGGTTCCAATCCGGAAACATGGGGTTCAATCCGAAACCGATCTGTGGACTACACCGAATCATGGATTCAAAAAATAATCCAAACCTACCGGATTAGATTGGACTGGATCGAATTACAGATTTTACGGATTCCTTACTTAGCCCTAAAAATATCGAGGAAAAAATCATGATTTTTTTTTTTTTTTTTTTGGAGGGTACATCAGGGGCTGTAACCTGGAGAAGGGGAGTCTTAGAATATTGAATTTACTATAATGGTCCAAATTTCTAAATTTCTCTTTACCTAAGCAATAAGTTAAAGGTCATATGTCACCATTAAATTCTTATTGCCTTTATGCACAACAAAGCTCCACAAAACCACCTTCATGTAGTATTCTACCCTAAATAAATGGTATTCTACCCTAAATAAATGAAGTATTTAAAAACATATGAAATTTAGTCATCTCTGTCTATCATTAGGCATGAAAATTAGATAAATCTGACACTTAAACATGTATCCACACTCGGCAACCATACCCTAGTCCACATAGAAACAGACAAAATCAAAACATCTTCTCAACCAAAATTTCAACGGACTTCGTCATACATAAACATAATAGATCCATGACCTTGATTCCTAGGGGACAACATCAAATGATGACTTTCATATCCTCTGATGATTTTCTTATGTTACTTGCAACGTAGATTGTTCCAAGAAATGGGAATGGGAATAGGAATAGGAATAGGAACATGAACGTGACACACCACATGTTCTAAAAAATGGTAAAATAAGGATAGGCTTGTACAAATCACTCACTTAGAATTTAAGTTATGAGATCAGTTTTCATTTAACAATTGGATATCCAATAAAATAGTCTATTTTTCTTCAAACTAATAAATATCAATTATCATTTAACAATTGTCTTTATGCAGAACAAAACTCCACAAAACCATCTTCATGATTTTAACTGAAGAAGTAAACTCAATAATCTGCAGTCAGACAATACATCATTGAAGCAAACACCAAAACAAAATATGCAACAATAAGCTCTTTTTTTTTTTTTTTTTTTAAGTAAGTCATATTATAACCAAAAAAGAAAGATATACAATGAAATTCAATACACATCTTTTGTAGGGAGAATAAACATAAACAAAAAACAAACTACTCCCTCAATAGAAACGAACTAAGCCTATAGACGACGAACACAACATACACAACAAAGGATTCAAAATTTCCCTCTAGCACTCTTCAAGTAATGAAGTTTCGCTTTGAGTTTTCTTCTGTTATCCTCCTTTGTAGTCTCTTCATTAATGGGATCACTTGGAGATGAACTCCCTCTACTTTTTAGGCTCTTCGTTTGACATAACAACTCTTGATTTAATTCTCCATTCCCCAACTCTCCCATATCACATGATTCAAGGACTTGAAGCTATTCCCAGTTTTTCTAGAACTTGAAGCTATTGCCAGTCTATCTCTCCATTGTTTGTTGTCGAAACTTTAGACTCTTGTGCTATAACTTGATGTTCTCCGAATGTCTTTATGTCCCTAGAAACCGGGTGAGCATCCAATGGACAGCTCACTCGCACAACCGCATCTTCGTGCCTTGCTTGAAAATCAATTTCCGGGACAATGCATTGCTTCTGCTTATTGTTACCCACGTACTTTTCGGTTTCTAAGATCCCTATCTTCTTCTGAAGATCAGTGATGTATGTAATCGCATCACCGAGCAGAGAGGCCTTGTCCATCTTGGAGATGTTAGGAACAACCGCTCTTAATGCATAAAAACGTTGGTTAAGCTTCTTTCGCCTCTGCCTCTCTGCTTCCACATGATTCAATGGTTCCTCTCTCCCATTGGCAGGCTTTCTCCCTCTCTTTCTTGGTTTCCTGTCATCAAACAGAATCAACAAGTCCTCCTCACCCTGGTCTAAACCAGAAACAATCACTTGGTTCATTTGTGGAAACAGTTTTGCTTCACCATCATCACTTCGAGACCAATTAGAAGAGTTCCCATAAACTTGATT